GGTGCCCGGGGGGAGTGAGGCCGCTGGGGTGGGAAGCATCCATGGAAGCTGCAGTTCGGTGGGGTGTTGTTGCGGTATCAGTATTGCGTGCCCCGGGCATGCGGCACTATGGCATGCTGTTGTCCGTTGTGCCTGGGGTAGCGGTGGCATGGCTGTGGGGGGGGGTGCGGTGAAAAAAAACCCAGAGGGTGTAAAACTATGGAGGGTATGCATCTTTCTTCGTTGTAACAAACCCAGTAGTTCCCTGCGCATAAGAAGGAGCTTTTCTCAAGAAATTACGCTTTTCCAGAATTGTTGTCCAATATCTGCATTTGATAGAGATAAAAACTATGCAACGTGCCTGTATGGCTGCCTTATTTGCAAAAACAGAGATCAGGTGGAATTTTCTTTAAAGGTACTCTACACGTGTGTCTGTCAAATAAATAGCTTCACAAGTGAAAGCCAGGATTTGATTTACCTTTAATAGCAAACAGATGTTTTTGAAAGCATGTCTGCAACCATATCTATTCCAAGTTTGTCCATGCTTTCTGATCATGGATGGATGCACTGAGGTGGCAAAATGGGAAAAGCCAGAAGGGTTATCCTGCTTTACATTAGACTGAGAATAGTTTGAATTGATAGCAGTAGAGACTTTGCACTGAGACCTTTGTTAATTGTGTATGTAGGTATAGAGTCTAGCTAGGTACAAGGTAAGACTTGGAAAAAACTGTCTGGATAGATTTTCTGTTCAGTAATCGTTTGATTTTCTATGCTTTGTCTAAGTGTGGATTCTGAGTGCTGACTAAAGCAAACTTTGCCAAACTGTATTACAATGTTATGCTGCGTGTGCAGCAGTGGGTGTGTATCAGCAGTTTCTTTAGAAAAACAGAATTCTTTACAAAACACTGGTTTTTACTCTGTTAAAGTTAACAGCTGACTTTAACCTTGTATGAGGCTTTAGGCAAAGATACAGTATTTACTTGTTTCCTCTGAACAAAGCTAACCTGGGGCTATGTAATTCAGCAGTTCTTCATTCTTGATGGCCTGTAGGCTTTGGAACTTTTAGTCAATATCTTGCAAATTGTCCTTTGTGTTTCATGTGTCACTACTAGAGGGCTAATATTCTGTTTCTGTTTTACTCACTATATTTTTTTGCTTTTAGTTTTAGCAGATACCGTAAATTTCCCACATACCCTTTTTCAGCAACCTTTGCCTGGCTTCTCAAGTTGCATTTCTTCATGTGATTAGTGTCACTGATGTCAGTGGAGCAACTCAAGAGATTTCACTTGGTGTGGATAACAGTTGCAGCAATAGGTCCTAAATTCAGAATGTCTTCAAAGCAAATGCAGTTGGTAGTGGCTTAGCTTGTAGTTGTTTCTGTGTGCAAGTGCTGTAAGGAGCATTTGGCAGCTATAATTGATATTTATTTATTTATTTCTCCTCATGAGACAGAAGAAACAGGCCAGGGAAAATCATGCTGTGACTGCAAATTAAACTGTTTTGAAGCTCAGCTACATTACTAAGCAGTGTGTGTCACCAAAGTCACGAAGATTATGAATGTTGGCACCATTCTTCTAGTCTCTCAACTGATGATGCAGATAGGCCATAGCTTTCTAGACATTTGCTGTATAATCCATGAATAAAATACTACCTATTATATATGTTTGCAGTTTGAACTCCTTCAGTTGTAAATAGACTGTTTTTATAATTACAATGTTACAACCTAAGTCCTTTCCATGGAGTTGGTTTATGAAGTGAAATTTCCATAATGGTAAAATTACTGTGAAGTCTGGTGTTGTGGATCTATCTGTAACCTGTAAATACAGTAACCACTTTGTCAATGCTCTTTATGTAACATTGACAGCCTTGTTTGGTTTTGTGCAAAGCTTTGTTTACCTGGGACTGATGTTCATGGAGATTAATGCTTTTCTTTAATATTTGGCAGGCCAGAAGAATGTTTGAGGGAGAAATGGCAAGTTTGGAAGCCATCCTGAAAACACAGACAATAAAAGTGCCTAAACCCATCAAAGTTATAGACCTGTCTGGGGGCACTACTCTGTTTGTGATGGAACATTTGGAAATGAGAGGCTTGAACAGGTAAACCACAATATTATCTTTGCATTCTTTAACCAGAAATTCTGAGTATTACGGCAATCAAGTCGCTTGCTTTCAAGTGGAGAAACTTGTTTTAATTTTTTTTTTTAAAGCAAGTCAAGATTCATTTTTGAGAAGCTGTTGTTGTGGTTTAAGCTGAACCCAGGACACTGTACAGCAGAGAACTCTCTAACATACTTCATAACACTTTACTGAGCAAATCGGTCATGCATCAAGAAGTGAGTCTGGGGTTTGTCCAGTTTTGACTTTGTTTGGGCTTTTTTGTTTGTTTCTTTTTTAGGTAATTAGTGATTTTTACAGTAAAGCTGCTTTTTTCAATAAGGAAAATTACCTACCTGATCAGCTCTTTTCTGTACTTGCCTTTGATAAAAGAACCAGTGTTTAATATTGCTTGTCATGAATATGCAGAGGCACTTCTCCAAATGAATGAATTCTGATTTCAATATTTTTATAACTCTCACCTTGATAGTTCCAAATTTTAAGCCCTTCTCTGTGGCACACCCTTGAGTAAATTAAAATATGATGAATACTTGTGTCTGATTCCATTAGGCAGGTGGGCACAACCAATTTCTCATCCCAGTCTCAGAACTTTTACAGCCACTTAACGTCTTATGCTTCAGCTTGCTCATCTGCAGAGTTTCTAATTCATGAGGAGCCCTTAGTAAGCTTCAAGAGAAAGAGCAGAAATAGTATGGGGTTTGGGCTGACCGAGATGAAAAGTGTGCAAATGCAGCCTTTGGCAGATAGATTTCAGGGCACAGCTACAATCTGTGTTAACAGGAACAAAATGAAGGAATAACTTTGCTTTAGATGACAGTGCCTTAAGAACAGGGAAAGATGTGAGAGGTCAAAGACAGGAAAAGGAACATACATTTGTTAACATGGGAGGTGACTGGCTGGAGGACTTGTAACTACTGCAAGACTTTTCTGAACTGCAGAGGATAAGCTTTTATTAAAAAATAGATAAATAACTAAGGTCCAACTGACTCTACCATCTTTTAGACCTTTCAGAGAGGAGAAGCAGGAGACAGAGAGATAAAGAAGAGGATAAGTTTTGTTTGGCTCTATTTCCCCAACACAGTTCACCAAAAAAGAAACCCCCACCCCAAAGCTTTAACAGGTTGTGCACGCTCTTCTTACAGATCTCTTACTGAAAGTTCATATGGAGTTGATACCATGCAGAAATCAGAATTGAGTTTCTCATTGTTATTAAATGTTTGCTGCTCACTTTCACTTTTAATAGTATTGTCAGACCACGTACACACATTTTGTTCTGTGTTAATCTTTGTAGGAAGAGGTGTTTATAACCAGAGTATTTTGAAAATGTACCTTGTTAGAGATGCAGAATTCTTTTTACTTGCTTTATAAATCTTTTGAACAAACTCCTGGAATACCAAGAACTGGATTAATTCCTGTGTCAGTGTTGCTAAGGGTATTTTTGTTTCTTAGACATTCAGCAAAGCTTGGAACACAACTGGCTGATCTCCACCTTCATAACCAGCAACTTGGAGAGAAGCTGAGGAAAGAAGAGAGCACAGTTGGTACAGTACACAGCTGTTTGCGAATTTAACCTAATTCATAAGAATCTGCAAAATGCTAAAAATAGCTTTTGTTATTTCAGGTTAAGTTTGTCTTCTTCCACTAAAGATCCTACAAAAATAGATTTGGATGAAATGCCCAGGCAGGGAGTCTTCAGTTTATTTTTAATTTGCTCGATTTGGATCTGTAAGCAAATAATTTATTCAATTTGGGACCCTTATGATCCTGAACTGCATTTTCTGCAAGGACATGTTACCAAAGGAGATATGCTATCTCAAAATATGATTACGGAGATTGTAATTTGGCTGCTTTACATCAAGATTAACACTTAAAATCCAACAGCAACAACCATTGTAACAGAAAAAGTATTTAGGTGCAATTGTTTGATTCTCAGTAGAAGCAGCATTGTACCTTTACCTAGTTTTTAAGGTCCATTCGCATTGGAGATACTCAGAACCTTGTCATTAGTATTGGATTTTTGTCTTTGGTTTGAAAGGTAAAGGTCAAGGGCAAATGGAAGTCCAGTTTGTGGATCAATTTGGCTTTCATACAGTTACCTGCTGTGGCTATCTTCCACAGGTAGGTTGTGCTTCATCAGATTGATAGAATTTTAAGTTTTTCTTATTTTCCCTTCAGTGACACAAAGGAACCAAATTATTATTATGTAAATGAATTTGTTTCTGTGGAGTCATAAAAATCAAAACCCACTGCTCAGCCTTCAGCCTGCTAAGGAAGGTCGTGCTTTGGATAGCACTTCCAGCTGCATTGGGCATTCATAGCTCTTCAATTTCTTGGGTTTCATCACTTAGGGGAAATCATTTATTCCCTTGATGTAGTGTTTTAAGATAACATTCTATTAAATGGTAGCATTTACTGTCCTAGATGGTAGCAGCACAAAAATCCTCAAAAGCTTTATTTGCAAAAGAAGGAAATCTGTCGTTTGTGTGGTGTAGAACTAATATCTGCAGCCTTGTTCCTTCAGGTGAATGAGTGGCAGAGCGACTGGGTGACTTTCTTTGCCAAGCAAAGAATCCAGCCCCAGATGGACATGATCGAGAAGAATTCGGGAGACAGGGAAGCAAGAGAACTTTGGGCACAACTGCAGGTAGGAGGAACTCTCTCAGTTCTCTCTATAATAATAGCTACATATCAGCTGTTTAGATTTTGTTTTTCATAAACCAAAGTTCCTGTGTGTTGGTATGCTCCAGGTTCTGTTGGTAAGAGACTCCAGCTTTAGGGATTAAAATACCCTTTATTTTAAGTTATAATAGCTTTTGGACATTATGATAATATTCCACACTGAATGTGTGCCAGATAGCACTTTGTCTTTCTGTTTGGGAAATAGTAGATCGATTCACATTTCTCATTCCTTGTAACATGTTCATAATGAGAAATATATATCAGGAGTTCTGTCCTGCACATCATCCCTTCATGTAAGGTTTGCGCATGGTTAAGTGACTGCAGTAGCAGTGATTTGGGTACTACTTTGCAGAAATCTCTTCAAGGTTGGTGAGATATTCCTGAGCCTTCTAATCATGAAGTGGGTGGTGGTGGTTGTTATTAAAGCTGGTCAATATTACAGCACTGAATGCAGTTTTAAATTTTGTATTTTCTTGCTAAAAAGCCATTTGGATGACTATTCTGCAGCTGCTGGCTTTTAGGAATAATAGAAATCCTCTGGATTTTCTCAGCATCGCTGTTGACTTAGTCCTATGCTGTTTCAAGTTATGCCTTTTTTTTTAAACTGACTTTTAACAAGTTTCAGCTGATGCTTTGCATGTGTGCAGATAAAAGTCTGTAGTCAATTCACCTTCAAATGTAGTACTTATACATCTTGCTTTCTTCCCCCTGCAGCTGAAGATACCCAGTTTGTTCTGTGATGTAGAAATTGTTCCTGCTCTTCTGCATGGAGATCTCTGGGGAGGAAATGTAGCTGAGGATGATTCTGGTCCAATTATCTTCGATCCAGCTTCTTTCTATGGCCATTCAGAGTATGAGCTTGCAATAGCTGGAATGTTTGGTGGCTTCAGCAGTTCTTTTTACTCTGCTTATCACAGTAAAATTCCCAAAGCTGCAGGGTTTGAGAAACGCCTAAAGCTTTATCAGCTTTTTCACTACATGAACCATTGGAATCATTTCGGTACAGGGTACAGAGGGTCCTCTCTAAACATTATGAGAAACCTTATAAAGTGACTTGCAGCTTAAACAGAACACTTACTTTGCTGCTTGGAAACCCCCATACTTTGTGGTGCAACTACAGGAGTAGTAATTTCAAAAAAGCCACTAGATCCTTGACCTTGTTGCACAGCTAAAGACCTAGAATCAGTGAGTACTGCTGAATACTGAGTGTAACATAGTCATCCCTTTTCAGGATAGTTGGGCATAAGTTATGATGGGAGTATCTAAGGAAGGAGCAATTTGTGCAATTCAGTTGCACAAAGATCTGTTGGTGTCATGAAAGCATTATGTGCTTAATACTAGGCAAGAGTATACAAATAATACACTGAGGAGATGGCTAAGAACGTTGCTCATTGCTTTTTGCTGTTCCCCTCCCACCTTTATGATAGATTGCTCAGACTCTTTCAGCTCTTCATGTCCAGTTATGTGCATGAGAACAATGTTAACAAAATACTTTGAAAATTAACAAGAAAATGACATAATGGCATCTGTGAAAGGTGATCTGGACTCGCTATTTGTTATGCTGATGTGATACTGTTGCATGGAGACTGCTTCCTGCTCTGTTACAAAGCTGTGTGAAAATGCTTAGAATTTTTTCTGGCACGTGCATTTTGGTGCCTCATGACATTCCTGTGGGCTGTTCTGTGCTTGCTGGTCAGTGGGCTCTTCTCTCCAGCGATTTTGTTTTCACCAGAACTAGCTCGCCTTTTTTGGATTATGCTTTTATCCAATAGTGTGTATTCTTAAAGGTCTTCTCAGATAAGGCACTTTACGTGTACATATCCTGTGCAGATGTTCTCTCTCACTAATACAAACAGAAGATGTACTTTTGACCGTTGGCATTGCCCACAGGACGATGCCGTGTGGTCACGGTACAGCCTTCACATACGTTTTCTGTGATTTTAAACTACAGATGCCATGAGCAATCATTCTTCTTCAGTCCCCACTAAGTGCACTTTGTAGCCTTGGGATAAGAGACATTAAACCAAAAGAAGTTAAAATTTAACTCTCAGAACAGCAGCTCTACCGCACTGGCAGAAGTTCTCTAAGGACAGCTTTGCAGGCTATTTCTTGCACCTGTAAGGTGATAATGCTAAAATTGTGCTCTTTTTGATGTAGGCTGATCATGATCGTTCAATGCAAGCCTATCAGGTAGGTGAGAGAGATGCATGATTCCTAACAGGCGTTTTGAGTGTTTGGGAATTACTTTAATTAGCAGAATATTCAGGGTTTTTTAGTTGCTGTTTTTGCAGTTATTTATACAAACTGGAAGCAAGTATTGGAAGAGAAGACCATCACTTGATATGTCTTTCCTTAATTCTACTACTCTTCTCACTGGCTGTTTAACTTTTCCTACAGAAAGTTTGAAAGCCTTGCTTGGTAGTATAGCTTTTCCTTTTACCTTGTTGCTTAAATAAAAAGTTTCCCAGTTGATTATTGTTGTCTCTGTTTTCTGAATTAAAACCTTACGGTTGGCTCTTGGGGAGTTTCCTGCTCTAACCTGTTCAAAGTCCCACATTTGTTAGACCGTTATAGTCGTCAGAGGTGTTGATGGGCATGTGGTCAGACATTGTAATCTGGAGCGGTGTGTCACTGAAGAGAATTTGTATGTTGTGTGGTTGCTGTGCCTTGAAACTTGATGTATTGTACCAGTTGTTTGGTGATTGTTGATGAAATGTTCTGTCCATGCCTATATCCTTATCCCATTCACCCAGACATAACACCACTTAGTGTAGCTGACTAGGGAGATGCTGGGGAATTTTAGCCAGCAGTAACTGTTTAGTTCCATATGCCTTCATGATAAAGTCAGAAGTTATTTAACAAGATCATTGTTGATTTGTTGAAGATTTGTAAACACATCTTTATTTTGCTAAAATACCTGAATACTTTTTATCATTAGAAGGTGAGAAAGCGACATGAAGGTGGATTTTCTGTCAGTCATAGACTTGAGAGATAAATGGTAAGTCTTCAAAGATCACCTTTTCCTAATAGAACTGAAGCAAAATAGTCTTGTGGTTGAAAGAGAATTGTGTTTTGTAAAAGTTATGTAAATAGAAACAATTGTACTTAGGCTTATATTTTAAGGGATATTATGCTCATTTTTTCAGAACTATTTTGTGCTACAATTAAAAATGGTAGAGAGGAATGCAGACGTAACAGCAGGCTCTATTGTGCCATGGATCCCTTGGTTTTGAGTTCTGATAGACAACAGGTGAATCAGGGGATGATGGAATCTTCTCTTCTGAAGGCAGGCTGCTGGTGAACCCTTAGGAAGAAATCGCTGCAGTTCTATCCAGTAGCTTTGGGGTTTTTTTCCCCTTACGTATTGTATAGCTCTCACTGCTCTTTGAATTCTCCTCTTTGATTGTTCTGTTTCATTATGTGGTTTAGCCATGCCTTTGTTATTCTTTATTTCATAGTTTAAAGCTAACGTGTCCTCCTTTTCCTTTTCATCTATTCCTCCCTCTTTGCTCCCTCTGTACATTCTAAATCTGGCAGGCGTGTTTCCTTGTACCCATGCTCTCAGTCTGTATTTCCTGCTTTTGTATCATCATTTTGCTGACTTTCCATTCCTGTTTGGACAAGGAAAAAGGGTGAAAGAACCACTGAATTTTTCTTAAGTGTACACGTATATTGTAAAAAAATTGCAATATCCTGTCATGATGTTTCTAAGTCAGTTCTCAAGCTGCATCACAAGACGTGTGGTATATGTAGACTAAAGCATCACAAGGCATTTATATGGACTACTTTGAAACCCAGATTTCTCTGTATCTTTTAATTTAAACTAAATTTTGAAATTAAGTCCTTAGGGAGTTAATTACTGGGTTGGGAATATGATTATGTATAATTTTAATAACATCAGCTTCTGCCTTGGAGAGGAGTTAAGGGAAGGGAAAATTGGAAATCTGGGCTCAATGGTTGGGATCATAGGAAAATTCAGGTTGGGCCAGACCTCAGGGGATCACTTAGCTCATCTCCTGTCTAAAGCAAGATGAGGACAGGCCAGGTTACTTAGGTCTATTCTGGTCTTGAAACCCTCCATGAATGGAGGCTGTACAACTGTCCTACGTTCAGCTGTAGCAGTTATTTTTCTCCTTCCTAGTAGCTGATGCAGTGCTGTGTTTTTGACTTTGAGAACAACACTGATAACACACTGGTGTTTTTAGTTGTTGCTAAATAATGCTTACCCTGATCAAGGACTTTTCAGTCTCCTGCTCTGCCAGGGAGGCGGGGCACAGGAAGCTGGGAGGAAGCAGAGACAGGACACCTGACCCAAACTGGCCAAAGGGGTATTCCATACCACAGCACGTTGTGGCCAGCATAGAAACTGGGGGAATTTACCTGGAAGGCCCAGATCACTGCTCGGGTCAGGCTGGGTATCGGTCGGTGGGTGCTGACCAATTGTATCTTCTCCCCTTGTTATTTTCCTTATCATTCTTATCATTGGTGGTAGCAGCAGTGGTTTGTATTATACCTTAGTTACTGGACTGCTCTTATCTAAACCCGTGGGAGATGCATTCCTCTGATTCTCCTTCCCATCCCTCCGGGAGTGGGGGTGAAGAAGGGAAGGGAGTGAGCGAGCGAGTGGCTGCGTGGTTCCGAGTTACCGGCTGGGCTTAAACCACAACACCAACCTCTCGGTGCTTGACTGTCCTAAGTGTGAAAATAGATCCAGTTTGAACCTCTCTGCAAGAACCTGTAGTTTTGCTGAATTGCCCATAGTTCCTCTGTACCCTACATTTCAGTGTGATTCATTTATTTTCATTCTCATGGACTGCTGCCATCTGCACAAACTGCCTGCAGGGATGAATGTTGCACTCTCTGCTTTTCATCTTGGCTGCTATTCCAAAATAGATCTGGTGATATTAACTGATGCTGGACTGTTCTAGCAGAAGTAAAAGCGCGTGGGAAGTGGTATATAATTAGCTCGTCCTGCACTGTTTGTGACAGAAGATTTAAAGGAGGAAACATATTTCTGGTAACTAAACCACACCAGAATCACAATAGCTCTATTATTTGTCTTTGTAAAATAATATTCAATTAGTTTTCAACACATTTTTCAATGAAATCTCAAAAGAATTCACTGAAATCTTCCATGACATGGTGGTATACAGAGCTTCTGCCTCTGCAGTTATGCTGCAGGTCAGACCTGTAGGATTAAAGGAGCTTTGAATTATTTGTCCTTGGTTATTTCTTTACTAAGGAACAGTTACTTCTGTGAGAGGAAGGGAGGTTTTTATGATAGAAAGTCTTTTCTTGCTCTTGGCTTAATATAGCTTTTTTGTTTTCCTGTGATTCTTTAGATACTGTTACTCCCAAAGGACACAAAACCAATCTTTTTCTTCATTTGTGTGCAGGGGGGTATCTGTCTTCTGGACAGTCTTTGAAAACAAACGTATTAGAAGCAGTTGAGAGCAAAAGAAGAAAATAGCTGGGAAATGGAACAGTTACAAGCTCCACTACCAGCATAACCTGGAGGACAGGGCTCAAACCAGGAGCCTGACAACACTCAGATGAATAATCCTTTGTATTTAACCCATGCCATCTCCTCACACCTCACCAGTGCAGTTGGGGTTTCCTTGGGGATCTGGCCTTGGTGCTGAACCGATGCTGACCAGTTTCATGGCCCTCTGTTCCTTCCAGCCCATCTGCAATGCTTTGGAGTTGTTTTACTTCCAGTGTTTGGAATTACACTGTTTGAAGTTGCTTGACTGGAACAAAAATGTTAGGAAACCAGGCTTGTTGCCTGTGTGTTACTAGTTAAATATCGATCCAGCATGGAAGCAAACAGAAGCCTTTCCTGTCTCTTGGCTGCTATTAAGTGATGCAATATATTTGGATTAATACACTCCTGTTTCTGTTTTAACAAAAAATGAAATTAAAAGAATGTTGGAAGAAATATTACAGTCAGTAACTACTGGTGTCTTCACTGGAAACTGTAGGAGAGAAGTCTATGGCATCCTAGACTGCAAATATATTGGGTTCAGTAGTAATACTGTGGATGAAGACGGATAGTGCAACAGTGGTAACAGAATTCAGAATTCCCTGCAGAGGTGGTAGGCATTGCTGCTCCAAGAACAGCCTTTTCCATGGATTGGAATGTGCTAAGAGTCAGTCATCAAACCAAATATGTTTTCTTTATACAGGCATATTAAAACAAATACTGCAGTGTCTGAGTTGCAACATCTTTTCAAAGTTTAAGAGAACGTGTTTTAAAGGTTTGACATTATATAACTGAAGGTGTCAGCGCACTTTGCAAGCAGAAATTGATTAAATTCAGTAGTACATAACGGATCTTATTTCTG